CCAAACCCACCACCGATGCCTCCGCCATGACCACCTCCGGCACCACCACCAAATCCCCCGCCACCTCCATGACCGAACCCTCCACCACCACCACCTCCTCCTCCTCCTCCTCCTCCAAACCCTCCCCTACCACCAAGAAAAGTATCTTTCTCGAGTTTCCGTCCTTCAGCAATCACAGCAGCCATTGCCATGGCTATCACCATGATCCCCAATACCCCAACACATTTTACAAACCTCCCCATCTCTCAACTGGTCAGTTGTTCAGTTGCTCTGCCTCTGGTAGAAGAGTAGTGGTTTCCTTATATAGAGTGAGAATTCAATGCAGGTGGTTGGGGATGATATCATATCCTACGCTCATTTGCTCATTTAGTCAATGATAAACAGAGCAATAGTTCCCACAGAGAACTTAAACAGAGGAGCACATAGGCATGAGCTTTTGATACTTGGTGCTGCTAGTGCTAGCTAGCTCATTTAGGAATTTAATAGAGTTAGTTGAAGAGATGGGTCCGATGATCTCATGGGTATATTTCTTGATATTGGATTGATGACGATCTTGCAGTAGCTCGGGGTGTGATGGCTTGCTTAAGGAAATAGAGCCACGAAAGTCTACGGAGCTTTGAAAAGGGAGGTGTTCGTGTCGGATGCCGACGCTTAACTCCATTAATGCGGGTGGGCAACGCTCAACCAATCAAAGTCCAGATAGGCTTCTTCGATCTATAGCAATTGCTCTTTCTGTAGTACTCTTGATTGGCTACGTACGAGTGCATGTGCATCTATTCATTTACTTACCGACGGATCCCTGCGTCCCAATTCAAACCACTCCCGCAGTACGTTTGTGGTACTCAATAATAGAAGTAGGTATCAGTGTAGCTCAATCGCTTAAATATATAATTTTTACCAGAGTGAAGTTTGAGGTGATGTATATATATGTAGGTAAATATTAGGGTTAATCTTTCTCTCATAGAGAGATACCCCTTATATATAAGTGCATTCTTACAAATAGGTCCTTACAACATTGACTAATTACTATCTAAATAACTCAACACTCCCCCTCAAGATGGGCGATAGATATCAATCATACTCATCTTGTTACAAAAGATATCATACTCTCTAGAACCTAATCCTTTTGTTAAACAATCAGCTAACTGCTCTTCTAATTTCACATAGCTCAAAGTCAGAACTCCTCTATTCAGTTGCTCCTTGATAAAGAACCGATCGATCTCCACATGTTTGGTGCGATCATGTCGAACTGGATTGTTTGCAATATTAATCGTCGATTTGTTGTCACACCAAAGTTGTAAGGAGTCTCTTCTAAACAAGCGCAGCTCAGATAATATGTTTTTGACTCACATCAACTCGCACAGACCAACTGCCATAGCCCTGTACTCCGCCTCAGCTGTAGACCTAACCACCACATCTTGCTTCTTGCTACGCCAAGATACGAGATTGCCTCCAATAAATACACAGTAGCCTGTAGTTGACCTACGATCATCCATACAACCCGCCCAATCAGCATCACAGTAGCCTTCAATTCTCAGATGTCCAGAACTTCTGAATCACAACCCCTTTCCTGGGCTTCCCTTAATATATCTAAGAATTCTACGAACTGCCTCCATATGCTGTTCTCTGGAATCATGCATATATCTACTCACCACACTCACGGCATGAGTAATATCAGGTCTCGTATGGCATAAATATATAAGTCGTCCAACTAATCTTTGATATTACTCTTTACTCACTGGGTCACCACCCTCGGCACACATCTTATGATTTTGCTCGATAGGAGTAGATGCAACTCTACACCCTAACATCCCTGTCTCTGAGAGAAGATCCAGAGCATACTTCCACTGAGAAAGCATTATACCCTTTCGCGACCTTGCAATTTCAATTCCGAGGAAGTATTTCAACTGTCTCAGATCTTTAACTTCAAATTCCTCTCCCAATTTCTTCTTCAACCGTAGGATTTCTTCAACATCATCTCCAGTGATTACAATATCATCAACATAGACCGTCAGAATAGTGATACGAGTTTTGGAGTGCTTGTAAAACACGGTATGATCTCCATTGCACTGCTTGTACCCCATACCACAGACTGCCAACCTGAATTTGTCAAACCATGCTCTCGGAGACTGTTTTAACCCATACAAAGACTTCTTCAACTTGCACACCTTCCTAGCTACTTGAGAAGTAGCGAAGCCTGATGGAATCTCCATATACACCTCCTCCTGGAAATCTCCATGCAAAAAGGTATTCTTGACATCTAGCTGATGTAGTAGCCAATTGAAGTTGGCAGCACATGACACCAACACTCTAACAGTGCTCATCTTTGCTACTAGAGCAAATGTCTCATCATAGTCAATGCCATACGTTTGACTGTAGCCTTTAGCAACCAGTCTGGCTTTGTATCTGTTGATCTTGCCCTCTGGAGTTTGCTTAACCGTATACACCCACTTACATCCAACAGCACGCTTCCCAGCTGGCAGAGGTACCAGCTCCCATGTATCATTCTTCTTCAAGGCCCGAAGTTCCTCTTGCATGGCACTCAACCACCTAGGGTCTTACTTAGCGACCTGCCAGTTGTTAGGTACAGGCACTGAATTCAATGATGCAATGAATGACTTATATGCAGGTGGAATTGATGCATATGAAATGTAATTCGCAATGTCAGTATCCTAACTACCAAACTTAGCTGGAGGTTTTCTAGCATTAACTCTGGAGGTTCTACGGGGCAAGACGAGAGTATTAGAAGTATCAGGGAAGAACTCGTTACCTATCGATTCAAGTGGAGAAGTCACTGGAGAGGAGGGACTTGGGACATCAACATTTGTGGGCACTGGCATAGGCACAGGAGGCGGCTCATGTTGTTGTTTTTGTCTCCTCGTATATACTCTCAGCTCCCCCTAACCTTGACTGTCACCTCCTGAGTCACCACCACTACTCGGCGGTGTACCATCACTGCTCGGTAGCTCAAGAGGACATGGAATCATCCCAACCACGACATCATTCTCATTCTCATTCTCCCCCTCTCTACTAGCATTAGTCGAGTCATCTCCAAACAAAGAACGCAACTCCGTCTTCTCCCCATAAAAATGTTCAAATTCCCGAAAAGTCACATCCATACTGATAAAAAATCTTTTTTCAATGGGACACCAACACTTGTATCCTTTTTGACTTGATGAGTAGCCAACAAAGATACATTTAACTGCTTGTGGATCTAGTTTACTCACCATCAATCTGTGATCTCTCACATAACATGTGCATCCAAACACTCTTGGTGGAACAACAAAAACATTCAAGCCCAAGAGCATCTCACACGGTGTCTTCATCCCTAATACTCTTGATGGCATCCTATTGATCAAATAAGTTGTCGTCATGACAGCCTCACTCCATAAAAACTTAGGCACATTCATTGTCAACATCAATGAGCGAGCCACTTCCAGTAGATGTCTGTTCTTACGTTCAGCTGCCCCATTCTGAGCAGGGGTGTCTGGACAAGTAGTTTGATGAAGGATTCCCTGACTAGAGATGAAAGCAGCAAACTCCTTGTTGACATACTCAGTCCCATTATCTGTTCGGAGAATCTTCACCTGCGTTCCAAACTGTGTCTTCACATAGGCCGAGAAATCTTGAAAGCATTTGTAAACCTCAGATTTCTGTTCCATCATGTATATTCAGACCATACATGAATAACAATCAATGAAAGTAACAAACCATCTAAACCACTAATAGAGGTAGTAGGACATGGTCCCCAAACATCAGAATGGACAAGTGCAAATGGTTCACAACTTCGAAGACCAATCCTTCTATAAGTAGAACGAGTATGTTTTCCAAGTTCACAGGCATTACAAAATAACTCTTTTCTATCCACTTTCTTTATTAACTCAGGTTCTAATCTATTTAAACTCTTAAAAGATAAATGCCCTAACCGACAATGTTGAAGCATCGCTTCTGCCTCTGGCCCTCCGCTAACAGCAGCAGCAATCATTGCTGTCTCCCTAGCCTCTGGCCCTCCGCTAACAGCAGCAGCAATCATTGCTGTCTCCCTATCCAAATACCAAAGACCATCATGTCTGATACCAGTCTCAATCCTCCTCCCCGTTTCCTTCTCCTGAAAGACACACAAATCTCGATCAAATAACACGGTGCAATTTAATTGATCAATGAGAGAGCTAACTGAGAGTAAGTTAACTGGAAACGAAGGAACATGCAATACTGATGACAAGGTAACAGATGAAGTGTAATGGACCGAGCCAGTACCCCTGATGGGTTGGGATGTCCTATCAGCAGTCTGAACTGTCTCAGGATGCATATGCTTACTCGGATAATATAATGCAAACTCACTAGATGCTCCTGAGTCTATGATCCAATCAACATGAGTTTTAGTGGATGCAAGTGCCTGAACCTATGTACATTTGTTCGCATGAGCATAACCAATAAAGTTACCAAAGCATGTAGTGGTAGCCAGGTCCTAGGTGACTTGTCCCTTTCCCTTCGAACTCTCAGCCTGAAGCTTGAACAGACGTAGTTCCTCCAGCTCTGTTATTTCAGCTCCAGTCATCCCAGCAGTAGTTTGAAACTCATCTGCCATAGCTAGGTGAGCAACTCCTTGGCCTACACGCCCCCTGCCTCGACCTGCACGGCCACCAGTCTGACCACGTTCACCCCAGTTCCTTTCTCTGGGTGGCTTAGGGCACATCTGTCTCAGATGCCCTACCTCTCCACAGTTAAAGTACTGCCTAGTCTCCCCTCTGAATCCAGTGTTATCCGGGTTGGATACCACCAGTGTAGACTTCTTCCCTGTAAGTTCACCTATCCCAGACTGTAGCATGATACTGCTCTCCTCCTGTATCATGGCCGAGACTGCCTTCTCCAGTGGTGGAATCTTCGTCTGGGTTAGTAGCAACGTCGTCCTCTGCTCATACGCTAGAGCCAAACCTCGGAGAAATAACATGGTCCTCTTCTGCAAAGAGGCCTCGCGCTCCTTGCACTCTGGGTCCTTGCAGCTCGCTAAGGGCGAGAAGTGATCGTGATTGAGCCACAAGCGCTCCAGCTCTGTGGCGTACTCCTGTACAGTCCTCTCTCCCTAGACTATAGTGTTGATCTCCTTCTCGATCTGGAATACCCTCAGGTTATTCAACTTCTTGATGATCTCCTCCATCGGATTTTTTTTAGTCTTCATCATCGATCTAACTTGTATTCTTGTGGTGCGCAACGAAAAAATCCTGCAGCACTTCGATAGCAC